CATGGTAAAAAAGATATATTTCAACATTAGGAGAATCTCCAAGGTGGAATAACATCTCACCCAGGAAGCGTGTGCAAAGGTCATCAATGCAACAGTCTTATCCCATCTCGACTATCACAATGCCCTTCTGCTTGGTAATGGAAGAGTGCATAGCGAGTTTCCGAACCTGGATGACTGTAAACAAACTCAAACTGAATGATGCAAAAACCGAAATAATGGTGATTGCCAGCGCTCATAACCAGAACCGTGTTAAGAATATTCAGCGTGTGCAACTGGTCATCAAACAATGAAAACACAAGTCAGTCCATGGTATATATTTCCATTAGGAGAATCTCCAAGGTGGAATAACATCTCATGTGCAAAGGTCATCAATGACTATCACAATGCCCTTCTGCTAGGCATAACCAATCGAACCATGCACCGATTACAAGTGGCTCAGAACAATGCTGCGCGTTGTCTCACAAAAACATGCTACAGACAACATATCACGCCAGTACTTCAACAACTGCACTGGCTGCCTGTAAAACAACGTGTTGTGTTTAAAGTGCTGACAACCACGCACAAGTCTCTATACTCCTCTCAGCATCACCATATATGAGAGAGTTATGCCCTACTTATCAGCAACAAAGGACTTTAGGATCATCGTCTGACAAATGGAAAGTAATAGTAAAGAAATCATCGAAAAAATATGGTGCAAGAGCCATAAGCACATTAGGCGCACAACTGTGGAACAACCTGCCTTTAGAACTACGAGAGTTTGAAGCACATGGAGCATTCCGCAAGAACCTAAAAACGCTCTTGTTCAAGCGTGAATATAACCTATGAATGTAAAATTCCAGCATAACATCTAGGACTCCATGTGTTACCTCTCGTAAACTCAACTTTAAAAGTACTTTCCTGTGTACATAACAGTTTTTTATTTTCATTTCATTTTGCCTTGTCTACGTTAACCAATTTCATCTCACTACCATGTTTTATTTAAGGTCCTTTCTGTTTTATCGATTATTTACATGTACTTTCCATAACAGATTTATATGTTTTATTGATATATTGTTTTTAAATGTTAGCAAAACCATTGTACAGCGCATAGAAACTATATGTGATTTTGCGCTTTATAGATTAATAAAATAATAATAATAATAAAGTAAAATCTTCGATTACGGGAACATAAAAATATTTGAATATCTTCTTTTTTAAAGATCAATGGTCTAAAAAAGAGATGAAACTTTAAACGGTGAAATATTGCAAGGTTGATGATGATTGTAATTTGTTACGATCATGACCCCAAGAATATGGGTTATGTGGGGGGGGGGTCTATTAAATTTCATTCTCAAGAACATCAAAACCATGAATTATTAATGAAAAATCCTTGTTTTTTTCTGTTTTTTTAGGATGGGCCACAATTAAAATATCAGTATTTTGATTGATTGAATATTGTTCAACGTTCCTCTCGAAAATTTTTCACTCATATGGAGACGTCACCGTACGCCAGTAAAGGACTTCAAATTTAGACCTATACTCGGCACTCAGGGCCATTGAGCAGTGAGGGTTTTTAATCGTGCCAGCGCCTACCGTGACAACAGGACCTACGTTTCTCAGGTCATATCCGAAAGACCCGTGACTTTCACTTCTAGTGCCGAGCGCTTGGGGAAGGAACAGTCACTATCTATGTTTACGTCTTAGATATGAGGCGAACAAGAATCGAACCCAGGCCTCCCTATCAGGGAGCGAACGCTCTACCACTTGGCTACCTTGACCGGTAATCAATATTTTGTATAAGTAAATGTAAGTTTATTTGGAAAGAAATTATACTTAGGGCCGAAGTGACCTAGGCAAGCACGTTCGCCTATTGGCCTCCTGTTTCGATACTTGAAATGTAATTATTCTGAAAATATGTTTTTAACCTAACGGGTTTTAAAAGTCGTGTGTTTGTTTATATATTTAGAACTTTTAAAAATTAATCGTCCCGAAGGATTGACATTGTATGGAGTATGACTTCACTCGGAGTTCCCCGGATTGCTCATACCTTGCACATAACATTCGTTGAATGGAGCGTAGCGGAGTCAGTCGATGACTGCCGATTGGTATGATCCCAGGGTGTTAAATGCCCGACTCGGACCTGGGAGAAAACAATTTATATTTTACCCTAATAGGTTTTAAAAGTCGTTTGTTTTAATTTATTGATCTTTTAAAAAAAATTAGTCGTCCCGGAGAATTGACTTCGTATGGAGTATGATCTCAGGGTGCCCGACTCGGACCTGGGAGAAAACAATCCACTTAGGCAGGTATAACAACATCCGAAGGATCTAGCATCAGCTCGTTGATAGGAAAGATCAATTGGTAAAGTCATTCAAAGAGTTATCAATTAAATCATGTTTGACATTGACAAGAAATTAAAGGAATCAACAATGGTGCTAGGTGGAGAATCTTCCGTCAGAATATCTATCAGAATGATTCTTGTTCATAATTTGATTATAGCATGTCGTTTCAAGTAAAACTATAATTTTATGGATAAGGAAATGAGAAGCTAGCATGATGCAAGATAGTGATAAGATGGTGATAATGTGGATGATTATCAACATTTTTTTTCTTCATCTTCATAATTAATTTCTCAATAAATATTCCCTTAAAAAGACAAAATATTTAATTTTGATGTATATTTCATACAAAGATATAATAAATTGATATTGAATCATTAGATAAGCATAAAACCCTGCAAATTTCAATAAATTTTACATTCGAAAGATTGAAACAAGTTTATTGAAATACATATACATCGTCATTAAAAATATACATATTATGTTTTAATGTAATTTCTGAATGCATATTTTTTTCTTAAAAAATATTAACTAAAAAGATGAATCATTTTTAAAAAAGTTATACATTCAAAAGATAAAAACAAATTCATTGAAATACATCATCATCATCAAATAAAGAAATATATTAAATGTCTTGATGTAATTTGAGAATACACATTTACAATATAAACCTCCGTTTACTTGTACATTTTATTTCCAGGGTACATTGATTGTTAGAAAACAATAATTTACAACACCCAAAATCGCTTTAACATCAAAGGCAACAAATGTTTTTCTCTTTTTTTTTGAGGGGAAATATCGTCCATCTAGCTGATCTTCCGTCAATAAAAAGCTATGAAAGGCACTTTTAGAGTGATTGATTTTGAATAAACTTGGTACAATTACAAGGTAGGTCAGGATTCAGGAAAATAAATCGTATACTACTATATGAAATTGGTTTTGCTCTTTAAAATGACAACCAATTAACCTTTTCATGGTTTTAATTTGAAGTTATATGTTCGAAGTGAAAATGAGTGGTTTAGTGAATATTATGCAAAATTGATAACCCCCCCCCCCCCAGTGAAAAAGTGAAGTCAAGAATATAGACTCGTAGCACAAAAATACTGAAGAATACCGATTTTATACATTTACGTGAAACGTTTAATCTATACTTCGTATTTTCTAAGACACTAAGTTGCATTTTCATGAATACTTTTTGCAAATTTCTTAGTATACTTAATTGCATGTACAACACATGGCCCAAACTAAACTAAAATTCTAGTAGTGTGCATCCTTACATGCAACATGTATGTAATTTTGAACTGATAATGAGTTGAGAATGGACTTGTTCTTTTAACTTCAAGCTAGTCAATCATTCAGGAAATATAAACAAATCCAGCATCTGAAGCAGGTTTGAGTGATCATCTTTTTATAATTAATCCTGGTTGTCTAGGTATTGTACAGATGGGTTAATTATCAGACTAAATTTTATTTGGAGCAGACTCATTCAGCACTGGAATGAGTATGCTCCAAAAACTAGTCTGATAACCCATCTGTGAAATGTCGATCAGTCAAGATTGACACTTGAAAATGCATCCTGACTTGGCCAGGATGGATACTTGCAGAAATCTTGGCTGCATTTGGAAGTAATATTTCCTGGCGCAATGCAATCATGGCCTTCAAATCATGACCGACCAAGATAAGATGGTCATGTTGTCAATCCTGACTTGGTCAACATTGAAACATGACCCGGCCAAGATTGGATGGTAATGCTATCTATCCTGACTAAACCATGTTATCAATCCCGACTTGGTCAAGATTAAATCATGACCCGGCCAAGATAGGATATGGCCATGTTATCTATCCTGACTTGGTCATTTTATTAATCCTGACCTAGTCAATTTGCTAAAAATCATGACTTGGTTTTGCTTAAAATCTTGACATGGCCATGATTGTCATCCTGGTCGGCAATGATTGATTTTCAATGAAATATAAAGAACATGATATGGGGTCCCCTATGGCTTTCCATAGAGTCTTGATGCATCATCCATGCAAGTTTATTTAAGGTAGGTCTTGTAATTTCTTGGTAATGGACCTGCGCAAAAAACTTCTTCCTGGCAGTTCATCTAGAAATTGTAGGTCAAATATTACGTCTACCACAAATTATGGAATGTACATCAATCAATCTATTTTCAATGGAAGCTTAACTTATTCATTCGGAAAAGTAAGTCAAATCTAGCATCCTCCAAAGCAAGTCCAGTATTCGTGTGAATTTTCAGATGTTTCATCCAAGTTTGGTAAACATAATTAAGGCTTATAGATACAGTACTTCAGAATGAAACTGATCCAAAAACTTTATAATTTGGTCACTTATTGCAAAAAATGAAGGTCAGATCCAGTATCCAAAGCAAACCTGTAGTGTCCATTCTTAGAGGTGTCATCCATCAAAGCATGGGTCGCTACAGGGCTATTAGTTAATTTCAAACTGCTTCAAAAACATATTAGACCTATTGCCTTTTTTTCCTTTTTGACAAGCACTTACGCAAAAGATCTTTATACCTCTCATCGTGAAAAAGGCACATGTTTAGACAGACAAACTAACAATTGTTAACCAAGAACAAATAACTTCAATTGTCATGAAAATCCACTTACAAGGTTTACGAATCATACAATATTCTTACAATATGTTCTCAGTTCACTTATTTATGATGTCAACGTGGTGTCCAACTTCTTTTCCTTCGCCATCCCATTATCTTCCTTTTCCTTCCTCTTTGTTATCAAATGAAAAGCAAAAGCAAAGAATATAAACACGCCCTGTGTACCAGTGATTAGAATGTGCAAATATGAAAACAGCTGAATCTGGAGAATTTGATGAAGAAATCCAAAAAGCCACGCCCCTCCAGTCAATGTAGACAACCTGCAGAAAACCAGAACCATACGTCGATCATTGGCCAAGTGGGGTACTGTGCTATTTTTTACTTTGATTTCTCGGGCAGTCATTATAACCATAAAGATGTTTAAGATCACCATTACTGCTAAAGGCAGAGCGAAGGTATACAAGATCATTTCCGGTTTAGAAATATAACACGTGTACATGGAATACCCGTAACTATAATTGGTGTACACTAGAAAGTTGACCAAAATATTCACCGAAACCATGATTAAAGGAAAAAGTAAACTGTATAATATATTCCAAAGAAATCTTTTCCTCGTAGTATGCGTTTCTGATTTTGTAAACCTAACGAACATAAACGCACGAAAGAATGAAAAGCACGACACCGTCATCCAACTCATAACTGATAACCATAAGAAGTGTATGAACGCACCTACAGTCATGCACAATACGGAATGCAAAGGCGCAACTAAAGACAACAAATAAAAAATATTGGCTAAAAACAGAATAAGAGACGTGGACACGACGTTTAGACCATGTAGATGATTGACTTCATCATAAATAATAAACGCGATCACTGACCCAAGACATCCTACTGAAGAAAAAGACAAGCAAATCACCGACAGCACCTTTTCTTCTGTAAACGATTTCAAAGAGGCGGAATAAGCCGCGTTTATGCCCTGTGTATACTGATCCATGCAGACCTCGACATACCCTTTGTCGTTGGATTCCTTGAAGTACTCAGATTTTACACAAAATCCATAATCGAGTAAGCAGAGAGAGAAGTTAGTCATGATGATCTTTGTTTGACTTTTGTGTACTACTACTCTTGGACACAAAGTAACCGGGGCAATGAGTGACCTTAGATTCGCAGCTTCTATTTCTCTAAGAGGCTTTATATCTTGGTTGGTAAAATGCATTAACATATACCAAGGGTCATCAGAGAAGGGGTGGTGGAATAGATTATATGTGCGTAGAAGAAGAAACTTGGGGAGATACTGTGATTTAAATGATTGACCAATAAATTCAATGGTGAAATACTTTGATAACTCAGTCAAATTTTTGAAGAAGTCTATTAATTTCTCTATAAACTTCTTACGGTTGTGAGAGTGTTCCAGGTATAGTTCAATGTATAAGGCGATATAATAATCCGAATCTCGCAGAGGATCCCAGCGTTTGGAAGTCAGTATGTACATGTCAGTCATTTCTGTTCCAAAATTTTCCTGTATTTCGTTGTATATATAAAGCGTGCTTTGTAACATTTCCAATTTCGTATTGTTAGACCCTCTTGTTAGTATCAGGTTGACTTCGTAAACATGACGGTTGATCTTTTCCTGAACTGGAACACACTTTGAGTTTTCATATATCATGCCTTTCTCGCACATTATTTGAAGGCATTTCCTCTGAAATAGTAAACAAAAGATAATATGACTAGACATATTTTATCTTTTTCAGCTACAGGTCTGTTCATCGCGGTTCGTAAAAATTAGTTGAACGACTTAAGAACAACAAATTCGTATAACGATAAAGATATTGTTTAAAAATTCGCACAGATAAGTTCATCCGTTTAAGATGGATCTAATATGGTATTTTTTATGCTGTCATCTTAAAGCAGTATGAGCTGCATTTTTGAGCCATTTACTAGTATTTTGCTGTTAAAATTTGCTATTATGATAAATGTAATTAAAACTTCTATGATCAGTTAGACTAAATCAAAGCATAAAATTGTTTACTTATGTACATTCTTATTTATTGTACAATCTTATTTATTGTATCATATAAGAAATAAAATACTGTACAGGACGATAATAAAGTAATTTTGTTTCAATCAAAGTTTATCTATTATAATAGTTCTCCGTCTGTAAACTTTTCACATGTTCGACATTTTCTCAAGAACCACTGGGCCAATTAAAAAAAAAACTTGGTACAAAGCATCGTAGGGTGAAGCGGAGTTAAATTAAAAAAATGAAGAACCAAGTCCCCTCACAAGCGGAGACAATCGAGAAAAGACAAAAAATAGGATGGGGTCATTACAAAACCCTCTCAAGAACCATAGGACCAGAAAAGCTGAAACTTATGTGGAAGCAATGTGGGGTAGTGTAGATTCTAAATTGTTCAAATCATGACCACCGGGGGTTGGGTGGGGCCACAATAGGGAATCAAGTTTTCAATTGAAATACTTGTATATAGGGAAAGAATTTAAAAATCTTCTTCTCAAGAATTACTGGCCAGAAAAGCTGAAACTTATGTGGAAGCATTGTAGATTCTAAATTGTTCAAATCACGACCCCCTGGGGTAGGGCGGGGCACAATAGGGAATCATCTAAATGTAAAGGATAAAAACTTTAAGATGAAATATCCCTCTGCTTCAAACATCACTAATTTTTGTTTTTATTAAAATTCCAAACATTGATTTTCATCAACAGCAATAACATTAGATTCAAATGGAAAATACTTTTAAGCATGAAGCATTGCTTACTTTTTTCAGAAATGAATATTATGTCGTATCATGATGTGAAGAAACGTTGATATGGTAAATAGAAAGATCAATATTTTTTTTTATCTCGCAATAAAATTAAATATATGATAATAAATTTTAATATCACACCTACTAGTATCTAATTCTCATTTGAAAACATTATGAAGCGTTGCTTTTTTAATCATAATATGAAATTGTTTTCTGTCTTTTGTAAAATAATATACGTATATACATCAACAAAAGTTATCTTTCCATTATCGCCCTTTAAAATATTTTAGTGGATCAAAATATTAATTACTTGTTTATAAACAATTCTGCATCTGAAATTTTTGTAACAATTAAAAGACGTATACATTAAGAGAAAGAAATATGCACACAGTTTAAAGGAACTGAGTATAAATGTTTTAGGTAAACCATAATAAATAATTAATGAAAATATTGGCAATAGAAACTAGAAATCAGCATCTGTACAACAGAACAGATTTGAATAAGTTGAACTATAAAATAGTCTTCATTAATGAGCTCTGTAAAACCTGAGAAGACAACTCATTTAATTTCATGGGAAAATGTCCCTAGAACGTAATCTCTTTTAGCAGAGGGATATCACATCTTAAAAATCCTATTTTATCCTAGTGAAAATTTAAAATTGTCCAAATTATGACCCATGGGGTAGGTTGGGGTAACAATATGTATCACTAGGGGGATTTGGTAAAGAACAACATGGTCAAAGCTACTCAGGTGAGCGATGTGGCCCATGGGCCTCTTGTTTAGACGTTATATTATTAATAGTGAAGAATCAGTATGAGCTGCATTTTTTGAAATTCTTATTAGCTGTTAAAATATGTTATTATGATTTTGTATGTAACTTAAACCTTTATGATCAATTAGACTTAAAATAAAGTAAAAGAGCTTAAGATTCTATATACAATCCAATATGTCGTTTTACATAAGAAATCAGCATTGTACAGAACGACAATAATGTAATTTTGATTCAATCGAAGCTTATAAATAGTTCTTCTATCGCAAATGTGAACAACAGAAGATTATTAAATTGAATGTTATCTGTTTCTGTCATTAAAATAGTTATAAACAAGCTAATTCAGAGAATTTGTGTCCCCCGCTTAAGGAAAAAGAAGACTATGCACAGTTCGAAGGGGTGGGTCGAATCCCTGCTGAATTTGTAGAATTATTAAATGTATACATGTATATTGAAGCAAAAAAAAAATGCCAATATGGATATAAAGATTTGATTGCTTATTCTTTATTATGTGTATGGAAGATTCTCTTTATATAGAATATTGATCATACTGTAATGATGATTTTATAAGTTTGCACAAGCCAGAAGTCATAACTTTTTCATTTCACATGGGACCTCATATATGCTAAGCGAGAGACATGCCCCTATATCACTGAGTCGTTTTCTTCTTTATATGAATTATATGCAAACATTAGGTCACATACATGTATATATTCACGTTCGATATTGTCAAAGTTTTACACAGTGATTGGTGTCTAATTTAGCCTTTATCAAACAGTTCTAATAGATGTAATAAGAATAAAAAGTCAACCAACAACTTGTATTATACGTTTACAATAACTTTCCACATGCCCATGTGCTAAAAATGGTGCCAAGCGATATTTAATAAAATAAATACACAGGCACCTGACGTTACTTATTTTTCTTTTGATAAAAAATATACCCATACCTAATAATAAACAAGGTACCCGTCGAGACCGCCATCTTGGATTTTCGAAGTAGGTCATTCACTTGTATTTTCGGCTGAAACTCCGTAAAATAAATTCCCTGCAACCATATTCTTTCTGTTTCCAGTCTTTCGAGGTCTAAAATTACGGCCAGTGCAACCAGAAGGGCGCATCACCCTTGCTAATATTGAAAATCCCTCGTCAAACTCGCTCGACTGCTTCAGCAATGCGAGAAATAACTAAAGGGGGACCGGAAGTTTACATCAATATGCTAATAGGAATTCCGTATTTGTTTGTTTTTTGGGTGGATCTAAATCGGCGTGTTGTAATTACTGTGAAATAAGTATTTCAATTATTGAAATGGAAAAAAATGAGAAAAAATGGGAAAAATGAACACTTCTTGTAAATATACCTTCAAGTGTAAAAATATGATACTGTCTTAATCTGTACAGATCGTTGCATTCAACAATCTTTAATAAAAGAAGGGGGGTCACTTTTTAAAAACTATTTTTTAATAAACAAGGTCAATCTTCTCCGTGGATAACGCTCAAACATTGCACCAATAATGACAATTATATTCAGCATGTTCATTGCATGTAAGTAAGGACTTGAAGCCGATTTGTTCAACAGGCCGATCTTCGACATTTACAAAATATGATCGCTTTGATCAAGCTAGCTATATTCCTATATCAAGATTATTTTGGAGGGAAAGAAAATGAATGTTCTTATATTACTTTGTATTACTGTCTGATAGATTGTTTTCTTTGTTTTGTTTTGTTTTGTTTTAAAATCAGTACCAACTTTGGTTATTTTTAAAAATAAATCTTACAAATATATTGACCAATCAAAAAAGGGCTTTCCTTAAGAATTTCAAGTCGAATGTAAACGTCCGGCCCCCCTTTGGCGTTTTCTCGCATTGTTGAAGCAGTAGATCGAGTTTGGCGAGGGATTTTCAATATTAGCAAGGGTGATGCGCCCTTCTGGTTTCACTGGCCGTAAGTTTAGACCTCGAAAGACAGGAAACAGAAAGAATATGGTTGCAGGGAATTTATTTTACGGAGTTTCAGCCGAAAATACAAGTGAATGACCTACTTCGAAAATCCAAGATGGCGGTCTCGATGGGTACCACGGTATCTTGTTTATTATTAGGTATGGGTATATTTTTTTCATTAAAAGAAAAATAAGTAACGTCAGGTGCCTGTGAATAAATACTAATAAAACAAACGGGGCGGGACACTTTGAGAGGGAGTGAGAGAGGCCATAGGGAGTTTTGGTATGAATTTCATTGCATAAGCTCAAAAGCTTCTTGAGATATCGCCCGGAAACGAAAGTGCTTTTAGCTCAAAATCAATAGGGGTCTTCCTTAGGCCACAGGAAGTTGTTATGTAAAATTCCATTGCAAAAGCTAAAAGGATTCTCGAGATATCGCACGAGAAAGAAAGTGTTAAAACAGACAGAATTTATGAACTTGACCTTTGACTTTTTGACCTCAAAATCAATAGGGTTCTTCTTTGGGCTATAGGGAGTTGCAATGCTAAATTTTATTTTGAGCAAATGCTCAAAGGGATGTCGAAATATCGTTGGGAAACGAAAGCGTTACAGACAGACAGAAGCACGGACGGACGGACAGACAGACCCAAATTAACAGACAGACCCAAATTAATATCTCCCACTTTCAGTGAAAGCGGGGGACAAAAATTATTTACAGTTTTGCAACAAAAAATTTCGACATAAAGTTGCATCATGGGGGGCATGAATTTTGTTTCGTTCTCATTACAGCCTACTCCGGTTATATTGAAATGCATCGGACCATGCAAAGCGATGTGTATTTTTATATGTGAAGTAGAGAACAGAGTGGATAAGATGCCCCTGTGGTTCAATTCCGATCTAAAATAAAGAAGAACTAACCCGAACAAATTAATTTTGTCAACGTTTATCTATAACAGTGAACAGCTTACATAGAATGTGAGTCCTTGAAACATTGAATATTTTTTTTTTATTTCTGTTTCATTGAAAAGACAATCTTCAGCCTCATTATTATTCCCTGATCGCATTTATTTACGTTTTGGAGAAAAATCGCCGTACTTTTAAACGGTTGAGTACTGCTGAAAGCTACTTGTATTTTATAGTAAGTGTTCTCGGGTTAATCCCTTAGCTATTTCGAATTTACGCATATCAATAGCCATAAACTGTACTATTTAATTTGGAAGTTATGTTTTTTTTCCAAGATCTGTGGGGGTTACTATATTACGTTTAGCTGTTAAGCCTCGATATGTCCGTATTATATACGCTGACGCAAAGAATTTAACAGTGAAGAATTTTATTTCGTAAGAGCATGCAGTATAAAAACACATCAGGTGAAAACTTAATTATTCACACCTTTGTATATCAACTGGTCAATCAGGCATAATTACTGTCACCAACCGTAACGACAGCCGCCAGGGAGTACTTCAATATAACCGTTATGAAAACAACTCATTACATGTATCACCTGTGGAGACCGATCATTGGCTTCAATATAAGCGAAATTTCAATGACAATATATCCGATTTCAATATAACCGTCATTTTAATTAAGAATATCCGATCCTCAGCCAGGAAGGGTAACTCCAAAATTTTTTTTTTTGAAATGCATCAAAATGAAGCTTGAAAATGATTTTTTTTTTCATGCAATAATTTTCATTTTATTCATCTTTATAAGATTCAAGGTCTTTGGAAGTCTTGGAAATGGTCCTATAAAAGTTGACATTTGTACCCTATGAAACGACAAAAAATTAATACAGTTTTAGAGAAATAAGATTTTCTTGAAACCAGCCTTAGATACCAATACTTATTAGCATGATATGAAATGAGAAGTAATTTGTGGTGTCTTGCAATGATAGCAAAAGCCTTTTACGCATGTACATTATATTATAGAATACATGACGGCAATAGAAGACAAAAAATACCAAATAAGTATAAAAATCATTACAGTTTCTTTGAATGTCTGAATACCTATCGTTTTAAACTTGAAATATATTTGTTGATCAATTTGCAATTAGAAAATGCATTGCTGATATTCCAATTCGCTTTTTCTGCAAAAATGTTGGAGATTCGACAATTTTCCTTACATAATATGATTAACTTTAATCTTTATCTTTAAAGAAATACTGTGGATAAATTTACATAACCTTTGTTGATTCAGAGATACTTTATGAGTATTTTTGATTACTTAACTGCTAATTTTATAAACCTGAGGATCGGACTACCTTAATGCAAAGAATATGAGAGGCAAAAAATGGGGATTTATTTCTATTTCAAAATAAGCGATTTCAATATAAGTTGAATAGCTGTAAATTTTTTTTTCCGTTTCCAAGAATTTTAATTTCGTGGCTATGAATTTTATTTTGTGGACACGAACTTTTATTTTGTTCCCACGAATTTTTATTTCTTGACCACGAATTGAAAAAAAATCTCAGACCACCTCCTATTCCATGCAGTCACCGTAATTTTTGAAGTCTATACGATGCAATAATATAAAATTTGCACAGTTAATTAAGGTTCTACATCGCCTAATTTTTTTGGAGACAAAAACTACTGAACAGATGCTAATTTATCAAAGCTATAATTATAATACTTTGACGAACAAAAATTATCCACATATTTCATATGTATTTGAAAAATTTATCGTTCGAATAAAATTTACCCTTTACAAGTATAAGAAAAAAGCTACACAAATACATATACATGAAATGTTAGAGTGATTTTCTTGCAAATTCAGTTGGCTTAATTAATTTTGGTCAGTCTTCTGCACGTGTTTTCTACACTTTGTATCCCACACTGACTAACTGGCTCAGTGTATAAAAAGATGTTAAGAGAAATAGAGGATGAAAATTACTGGAAATTTGGAAAAAATGGCGATCCAAAAATAAAGTCTACAATTATGACTGTACACCACATAGTACGTGTATACATATAGCAAAACAAAAAAAAAAAAAAAAAAACAAGAAAAAAAAAACCAAAAACAAACAAACCAACAAACAAAAAACACACTCTCACACACAAAACAATCAAACATTGAAACTATCGAACTTTCTGGTATTTAGGCGTATTTTTTATTCAAAGCTTATTTTACAATAAACCAATGAAGAAAATGTCATGCAATAAATTATTTAACAACTTCAATTAATGTATGACGTGTTCGAAATATCTGAAATTTTCCTCCCTTTTTTACGATTTGATATTTTACATGAGTTCGGCATTTTAAAGTGGAATTCATTTATTTAAACCCATCAGAGCCCATTTATTTTAACCAATCAGAGTCAAATGTGTGTTTTTGAATTAATTTGACTTTTAAGTGTGTATAAATTATGTAGGCCTTTCAACAAATTTTTCAAGTTGCACATATGGTAAAAAAACATTTCATAGATAGATTTATATGTACATGAAATTATCAAATAAGATAATAACTTATGCATACCTTTAATTTAATCATTAAAAAGTTTACTTATTTGTAGTTGACTTCTTCGATGTTGTGTTTTAAGGACAGGTAACTCAAGTGTGAAAAATGACCAACTAAGTGTCGATTTATGAATTATCGTTTATATGAATGACATATAGGCTGTTTCAGCATTGATATTGTGATGTACACAAAAGGGCTCCTTTCATTGTTTTGTACACAAAAGTATTGACCAAATGACGGAGAATGTCTTCACTCTACCTGAAATAACAGGGTCAAATGAATGGGGAACAGACTATTTTCAATATTTTTAACTCTCTTTGACGATTGTTATGAAGAAAAAAAAAAATAATGTCATGTTTTTTATGTGCGCACTTTTGCGCACTTATATATATATATATATATATATATATATATATATATATATATATATATATATATATATATATATATATATATATATATATATATATATATATATATATATATATATATATATATATATATATATATATATATATATATATATATATATATATTTACAAGTAAATGCAACGATTAATAATCTTTTTTTGTGTTACTAAGCACGAAGAATAAAGACCGAGTATGAAAATTTAATCAGGTTAGAACTAAGAAGGAGGGTATATCTCACTTTTTATTTTAATTAAAAATTTGACTTATATGTAATTAAACGGTGTCTGCAACTTTATAGTAAATAAGTTTAATATTAGTGCTCAATTTTAAAACCACTGGATTCCGCTGACAGCAAAGAAACACTTGGAAAATTCCAAAAACAGACTTGCGTATAAACAGTTAGATACCTCGGACCTGCTCTATAATCAAGTGTCAGTAATGAGTTATCGTTTATAACAGTGAACCCTAGCGGCAGTTGAAAAGCCTAAATTATAGAAAAAACCAAAAACAGATGGGAATTGTGAAAAGTGTGTAGATTGGAAATATACTCACTGCACAATGCCTTTTGGTAAAACCTTTCCAAATCAGGCATTTTAAAGTTACCAATCTCTCTAAAAAGACATACCTGCAAGATCTGTTTTTAGTACTTACCGTTAAAGGGTCGTCTATTTGTTATTTAGGACTTACCGTTAAAGGATCAAACATTCTTGTTTGGGACCTATCTTTAAAGGATCATATATTTGTTGTTTTTGACCTACCTTTAAAGGATCATGTATCGTTGTTTATGACTTACCGTTAAAGGATCATATATTTGTTTTTTAGGACCTACCTTTAAAGGATCATGTATCGTTGTTTAGGACTTCCAGTTAAAGGAACATATATTTGTTGTTTGTGACATTCCTTTAAAGGATCAAATATTGGTGTTTTTGACCTACCTTTAAAGAATCATGTATCGTTGTTTGGGACTTCCTGTTAAAGGATCATATATTTGTTGTTTGGGACCTACCTTTAAAGGATCATGTATCGTTGTTTAGGACTTACCGTTAGAGGATCGTATATTTGTTGTTTTGGACACTCCTTGGGTTGGTCATTTTCCTTTGAATAGCTTCCTCTAAAATCTAATAAAGCAGAAAATGTTGTTACATCGTTTACATAATGAGGCTCACTACATTCTGTCATTAGGCCTGTTGTCCAATTCCTGACATTACACATTGCACAGTATATGTTTTTATAAAGAGTGTAGGAAGTAAGAGTTGAAGGGCAAAACATATACGGACTGTAGAAATCCCCAACACACCCTCTTTCAATATCGAAGTTATATTCGTCCCATTCTCCAGTCACATTGCATTTTGTGTTTACTTCTTGGATTGTCTTACATTTTCTAACCCTATCATCAAGATATGATGGTGGTACAAAATCTAATATGCAGGAGGATTGATTGTTTAAGATCGCTTTTTGTAATTGTTCCTGGGATCTATATTGAAATACGTCAAGTGGTTCCCCGCAAATGAGTCTTGTTACCCATTCTAAAAGATGTGCTGGACGTTCACCATTACATATGGCACAGTCCAAATTTTTGAAGGATTCATTTGTGCTCAAAGAAATCACAGGTTGGGTTTCCCTATAATCGCGAGATCTTCGACATCTTTCGACAATTTCGTAGTTTTTAAAATGGTCTGGACATGAAGAAATTAAGAAGTAGCCCTGGCGTTGTTCATCAAAGGGCAAACTTGTATAAAATATAGTTTTTCTACATTCTAGTGAAATATTATCATAATGTGATGGTCTGGAAATCCTGTGATCCTTATATCTTATGAAGCTTGGGGTGTCGTTTGGACTCTGCAAGTAATTTCTCCAGGGACAGCAGTTCTTCATCCGGAAACATTCGTCATTGCAACTACAATGAAAACAGCTGCGAATTTTCAGTTGAAATGTGTGATTCCTCCAAAATTGATCTCCAAAGCACATGTCCTGATCGGGACACATAAGTAGAGTAGAGGAGACGTACAGCTTCACAGTTTCATTTTGTATCCAGTTGGTCATGTTTTCCACCAAAATCTTATCGTCGGCTGAAGGTTTTTGGTTCCACACCAAAAAGGAATGGGTCGCTTGTGTCATTGGGATAAATATGTGCAATATTGTTTTCAAGAAAACATTCTGGAAAAAAATGAAATACATATGAGATAATGCACATGCCATTTTCACAAGAAAAAAATAATTTTTCTATAACAGAGTTATTTCTTGATTTATATGATATTATTTTTCTAAAACATTATTCTCAATATATTGTTTTATAATAGAAATATAAATTCGCTACCTACTATAGCTTAGATGTGTTTTAAAGAATTGAAAAATTGTACGTATAAGACGTGAAATATTTTGTGGTAGGTTTACAGTCCTTAATGTACACTTAACAAAACTTCTAAGTGTTCATGTAAATGTATTTATATGTATTGTATAATTTTCATTTGGCTTGTATACGCGGAATTGTTTATTTTGGCTTGTTACGAGGGATTTCATTGGTTTAATCTAATCATATATCGGTTTTGGTAATACCCGAGATATTCCGGGAAGTTTACACGTATTATCCAGTCTGTTCCGGGAAGTTTACACATGTTATCCAGAGCATTTACATTGTCGTTCCCGCTATGCTCTCACATACACCTCGGTCAACGCTTGTTTTACAAGATTCTTAGAAATATTGTAAAAGATTAAAAGTTGTACTAATAACTGTTTTTAATCATATTTCTTATCAGAAAACATTATTATACCCCCGCTCTGAAGAAGAAGGGGGTATACTGTTTTACCATTGTGTGTCTGTCTGTCTGTGCGTCCGTGTGTCTGCCCGTAACAAACTTTCGTCGCAGTTTTCTCAGCAACTACTCATCTTAGATGCTTGAAATTTTAACACAATTTTCTCTGAGGCATGCCACACAGTGAGATACATTTTTATTCAAATCCGATGGCAACTTCCTGTTTGTCTGTGCGTCTGTCCCCTTTTTAACATAACAGATTTTCGTCACAGTTTTCTCAGCGACTACTCTTCGTAGATGCTTGAAATTTTGATACAATCTTCTCTGAAGTATGCCATACGGTGGGACACATTTTTATTCAAATCCGATGGCAACTTCCTGTTTGTCTGTGCGTCTGTCCCTTTTTTAACATAACAGATTTTCGTCACAGTTTTCTCAGCGACTACTCTTCGTAGATGCTTGAAATTTTGATACAATCTTCTCTGAAGTATGCCATACGGTGGGATACATTTTTATTCAAATCCGATGGCAACTTCCTGTTTGTCTGTGCGTCTGTCCCTTTTTTAACATAACAGAATTTTGTCGCAGTTTTCTCAGCAACTACTCATCGTGGATGCTTGAAATTTTAACACAATATTCTCTGAGGCGTGCCATACAGTGGGATACATTTTTATTAAAATCTGATGGCAACTTCCTGTTTGTCTGTGCATCTGCCGTTTCATACATAAACAAATTTTGTCGCAGTTTTCTCAGCAACTTCTCATCGCAGATGCTTGAAATTTTAACACAATCTTTTCTGAGGCATGCCATATGGTGGGATACATTTTTGCTAAAATCTGATGTCAACTTCCTGTTTGTCTATGCGTCTGTCCATTTCATATATAACAAATCTTCATTGCAGTTTTCTCAGGAACTACTCATCGCAGATGCTTGAAATTTTAACACAATCTTTTCTGAGGCATGCCATATAGTGGGATACATTTTTTTCCAAACCTGATATCAACTTCCTGTTTGTCTGTGCATCCGTTGGTTTCATACATAACAGATTTCCGTCGCAGTTTTCTCATTAACTATTCATAGCGGATGCTTGAAATTTTACTAAACTCTTTGTTTAGGCATGTCATATGGTTGGATTAATTTTGATATGAATTTTATGTCAACTTCATATTTTTCTGTGGATCTGCCTGTAATTGAACTTGTGTATATTAACATGTAATTGTTTATTTACATCAGAGCGGGGGTATTACTAGTGAGCATTGGCTCACAGATTTCTTGTTTATTTTAATTTATGATACCTTAAAAGTATTTTTTAATTAAGATTTTTATTTTTACTCCGCAAGAAGTTCCCTAAAAACTTTGAAAATAAATCGTTTTGAGGGATTATAGATTTAAAATAAATGATTAATTATCATCTTCATCGATAATTACAGCAATTAATTCTATCTGAACTTCAAATTTCCACCGTTTGAATTTTTTTTACAAGAATCTTGTACAGCGAGCGTTAACAGAGGTGTACGTGGTAGCGTAGCGGGAACAACTCTGGATAGAGAATGCACAATATGGGTTAAAATATAACAATGAAATTCCTGGTAACGAAACAAATAAACAGTCTCTCGAATACAATACAAATAAAAAAATTATACAATACAAATGGAAAATATAGAATACAAATAAAAAATATACAATGTAAATGATTTTTTTACAATATAAATGAAAATTTTTACAATGCAAATAAAAACTGATACAATACAAATTGAAAATATAAAATACAAATAAAAAATTATACAATACAAATGAAAAATATAAAATACAAATAAAAACTTATACAATACAAATGATTTTTTTTACAATGTAAATGAATAATTTTACAATACAAATGAAAAATTATACAATACAAATTGAAAAAATACAATACAAATGAAAAATTATACAATACAAATTGAAAATATACAATACAAATGAAAAATTATACAATACAAATTTAAAAAATTGGAATATTTTAACGTTTGACATGCCATAGTGATACAGTCGTTATTGTTATGAGTCTTACAAATAAAGACGGCATCGTGATAAGTCTTGTCTGTTTGACAAGAGACCCATGGGTCTTATAGGTCACCTGAGTATCACTTGAATATGGTTCGTGTTTAAAACCAGGTGCCATGAAATTAACAATTTTGAAAGAATGAATGATCACCATATTGCACATCATAACTATATACTTAGAATGCTTACTTTGATTACTAGTACTTCTTACAGAGAGGCAGAGCAGAGGAACAAAGAAAAATGCATCTCATATATATATATATATATATATATATATATATATATATATATATATATATATATATATACACAGGTGAAAATAATTATAAAATCAGTTGTGCCCATCCTACAGGAACCCCTGACCATGCGGCCACATATTTTACAATTTTGGAAAAGGTACCCTAGCTCATAAATCTTGGATTAACACCAAAAAGCTGATTTTAAAAGTATTAATTAGATTCCAGTCATTTGCGCCTCGGCTCACCATTTACCCCTGACGTAGGGGCCATGAAATTCGCAATTTGGAAAGAGACACCTTTCCTCATCATACCAATGTACGTACATTTGTAGATCATTCGTCGGCATAATACATGTACCCAAGAGCAGAAGAGAAGATTTTTCAAAGAATTAAATCAATTAATGCATTTTTACCATATAATTAATAGAGCCACACCCTAACACTAGAACCTCTGACCCAGGGGCCATGTAATTTACAACTTTGGAATAGGCATCCTTCCTCATCATAACTATACATGTACATAGTTCATTGGTTTAATACCCAGTAGCTTAGATTTCCAAAGAATTAATTCATTTTCCCTATATAAGCATTACAGCCCCGCCCTAACACTAAAACCCCTGATCCGGGGGGGGGGGGCTTGAAATTCAAAATTCTTGAAGAAGCACCTTTTTTCTCCTAACTATGTAATTAGATCATAGGCATAAACCCAGAAACAGATGGGAAAAAAATCAAAGAATAAATGCAATTTAACTATATCATCAAAAGAGTCCCGCCCTAACACAAGAACCCCTGACCCAGGGGGGTTTGAAATTCACAATTCTTGAAGAAGCGCTCTTCCTTATCATAACTATGTCCTTAAATCAACGGCACAAAACCCAGGACTACAGGGGAAGATTTTTAAAGTACCGGGTATTTTCCCTGTATAATCAATAGAGCCACGCCCTAACACCAAAACCCCTGACCCAGGAGCCTTGAAATTTACAATTTTCGAAGAAGCACCCTTCCATATCATAGCTATGTACATAGATTAAAGGCATAAACCACAGACCAGAGGAGATTTTCAAAGAATTAATGCATTTTCACTACATAACCATTAGAGAACTACCCTTATACCAGAAGACCTGACCGAGGGGCCTTGATATTCACAATTTTGGAATAGTCATCCTTCCTTATCATAATGGGGTTTATCCAATATGGATAAACCTGGTTATTTCGTGCAGCTTAATGTTTTACATGCAAAGATGGATAACTCTTTCTTGACACTGAACTTCATAAATCATCGGGCTCGGTGCTCAAAAAATTCTTGATATTTCTTGTATGCGCATGTCTTCTAGGTGTCACAACAGTATTAATTTCTGCTATATATTCTTACCAAAAATGCGCAAGTTTGAGTAGATGTAACTAATTCAAAACTCTGGAATGACACCAGTTGCAACCATCCCATGTCTCATTTTGTGAGTCTTAAAAACATTAAAAAATGTGCCAGGGTGTTGCTGTAGTAAGAAGGGGTCCTTTGCAGCTAATTCCGCCTACTGTAATTGGGTTGGGATTTTATTTCTAGATAGACTTTTATTTTACCTAAATTGTATTGATTGTTGATTCATTGTAAACTCCTCTAAACTCCCTTGTTGTCGTGCCTGAAAAGGTATATTTCATGAAAGCAGCAATTATGGGTTTGAGTCTGAATGAACCGCGATTTCCCTTCCTCTCAGCAAAGATAATTACAAAAGGGAAGATAACCCTGTAGCAACATGTCCGTTACTAAGAATTGGCTATCTATGGTATTGTCACTATTTTTTTTTTTTTTAATTTCGAATATTAAAAGTAATAGGCTGCACGCATCAGCTGACCTAGTAAACTTTTTGCTCCACTTAACATTTTACTGATTAACAAACGATTCAAGAAATCGGGGGTGTTTCGCATTTAAAACTAGTATATCCATGCTGCCAAGTGATATAGAGCTAGCTGATTTTCCTAAACTGAATAGGTACAGGTAAGACATATAAACCTGTCCCAAGGAGACCACTTTAATGCACTTGGTCTATTGATCACCCTGAATGAAACCCTTAAAACAATTTAGAGCATGCCCGT